ATAACATATTTCAACACGACCTTCATACTGTGACTGACCACCAACTAATCTGATATCACCCAGTGTTGTACAATTATCTCCTGTGCTAGGAGCTATTTTACAATTATGAGTAGGGGGAAATGGAGATTAAAACAATATGTACCTGTACAAGTTACATAAGCATCATCATATTGATTACAGCTCACAGACTGAACATTACTATAAGAGCAATTAAACACACTTTCCTCAGTTCCCTGACAATTGAGATTAGTAATGTGAAAAAATTTAAGGCCTTCAGTGTAAGAATTTTGACCAGCAATAGCTCCTAAATTGAAAGAAATATCAAAAATTTGCTAGCATCTCAATTTACCTTGATCTGAGAATCCCAATTGCCTGCAAACAACAGTAGCATCATTATTGTCCCAATTGTTATCACATATTGTACCCCAAGTTGTATCAAAACATACTTCAACTCTACCAACAAGAGGATTACTACTGCCTATCAACCTGATGTCACCATTTGTACAAGAAGCTGAAATAAAAGTAAATCATTAATAATTTAACATTGGTCTTACATTCACATCTGACTCCAATGTCATAATAATGACTATAATAAGTTATAGAATATGTTTGATTGTAACAGTTTGATAAAGAAGTTGTAACTGATGAACAATACAGATAACCCATTAAAATAGGACCACTACCTTCACCAAAATAAGAATAACGAACACTTGTAGCACCTGTAGGGTTGTTTAACTCTAAATCAATACTGTCAAAGTTATATTAAACCTGGTGCAGTGTATCCTAATTGATTGCAAATTGTTTGTGCAGTAAAGTCTGAAATTGAATAGTAGGATATTGTCCCCCAGGCACTATTACGACATATCTCAACAGTTCCTTCATATTCAGTAGATCCACCGAAAAGTCTAACCTCTCCATCAGTACAATTGGAGTATGACACAGTTCCATGAACTATTCTATATATGATTAAAAATTTTTAATTTACTTCAAACCTGGACAAATGACAGTGGCATGATAATAACTAGAACCACAGCTAGCACTGCTGTCTCTAGGACAGTCTTGAAGACTAGTCTCATTCCCAACACAATTAACACCTCTGAGAACATTAGTATATAGTGAACTACCATACCACCAGTATTCACCAACCAGTGCTCCTACAAAGCTTTAGAATAAACCCATAACTCAAACACATACCATAAGGTGAGTATCCTAACTGCCTACATACAACACTAGCATCCTTATTGTCCCAGTAATCTGTACAAATAGTACGCCATTCTCCTCCAGTGCAGACCTGAACTCGACCATAATAGTTTGAGCCACCATTGAGGCGAACTGCATTTTCTTTGCATTGCTCTAAATAGTAACAAAATAAAATGCAGTTGATCTAATACAATACCTTCACAGGTGACTTTGATGACCTGACGGTTTGTACAGGAAGCATACCTCAATCCAGTGTAGCTACAATTATATAAACTATTTTCAGTTCCTTGACAGCTGAAATAAGAAAAAATTGCTGGAAAATCATTAACTGAACTATGAGTTTCATAACCTGAAATAATAAAATATGAATAAACATTATGTATAGTATAATCAATTACTGACCATATGATAAGAACCCAAGTTGACGACAAGCTACAGCATTATCTCGATCATACCAATAACCTGAACACACTGTGCCCCATGCTCCATTAGCACACACATGCAGTATACCCTCCATTGTACTGGAACCACCATAGAGTCTTATACTGCCATCAGTACAGTTCACTGGAGCTTTAATAGTGTCTATTATAAATTGTAAATTAAATAGTACTTTATGATGATACTCACTGTGAGAGCACACAACTCCAACAGCACTGCTACTAGAGCATGTCCCTACTGTGTCATATTGACAACCAAGTATACTAGATTCATTCCCGTAGCATC